ATATATCTATATTTATAATAAAGTCCTATTGTGTAATTCTTTGTAGTAGTTTATATTCATATAGTATAGAAGTTTATAATATATCAACGGATAATGATTGGTAAACCCTCCAGTTCATCACATTTAACAACATTTATTGATTCAGTTATTACAAAACTAATATTTTTCAAATTTGAATTTAAGGTGGAAAAATTTTCAAATGAAAATTTTAATAACTGAATCGATAAGTGTTGTTAGATGTGTTGAACCGAAAAGTATATTAATCATTTTTTTATATCAACCCTAATATATCATCTAATTTATCATTTAAACTTTATTATCTGTCAGAAAAATTAACTCATACAACCTACCATACGCTGGATACCTAATAATATAGTGAAAACATTATTTTGCTTTACTTTTAACTTGGAAAAAGTTGTCCGATTACATGTTAAATGCAATTTCCACATGACAGTAAGGGAAATTGTTGAAACAAGCGTTCAAGGGCGAGTGCCCTTAGCACTCCTCATGTCGCACTTTTACCTTTACACCATTTTAAATAAATGAGTTTTTAAAAACATTGTTTTCATCAACTTCTCATTCACATATGGGCAAAAGTGTAACAAAACAATATTTAGAATGAGATTTTCATTATAGGGTATGATGATAATACTATTCCAATTTAATTAGCAATTTGGCATGCCTAAAAATGAGCTGGACGATCAAAAAAAAAAAAAAATCAATATTGAATGGGCTGGTCTTTAGTGAAAGTTCTTTGGGCCACTTTTTCAGTGATGATGAAATACAAGCGTGGCTTGCCCATGGTTATAGCCTAACTAGAGATCAACCTAATTCCCCTGAGTCTAGACTTTTATTTATAACATAGAAATCTTCATGAGCAATATGAGTTCAAATTATTACAAGCCAACAAGCCATGATGGGCACAAACATAACTTTTGCTGGGACTTTATTCTTGATGATGATGCAACAAGAAAAGCTATAAAAAGAAGTTTATAAACTAAATCATTATTTGAGATAGCCTTTGTCCTTACAGCATTTGATAGCATCATCCAACATTTCCTCAACGCTGTACTTGAATTTGAAGCCACTCTCCAACAGTTTCTTTGATGACAAGCCAGGTGCTTTGAAACTTTGAACTTTTGCCAAGGAACTACAAAGCCGAATGAAACATTTTTGCCTTTCAAATTTTAACAAAAAGCATGAGTTCTAATACAAGGGAAAAAGGACAGCACTCACTCGGGTGAAGGTATTGCGAATTCTGGATATTTGGCAGAAAGAATTTGAGACAATTCCTCGAATGTTATTGTATGGGAGGAACCTATGTATCTTCCAGACACTGTGGCATTAGGATGCTCAAGTAGGAAAATTTGTGCCATGGCTACATCATCAACATGCACCATCGATGCATTGAAAAGGCTAATATATTCTGCACTTTTCCCTGTGAAGGAATGTCATAGATAAAAACAAAATTAGCTAAAGCTAGCTTTTCTATATATATAATAAGACAGTAGTAAGTGATCTAATATATACATACCAAAGACTAAAGCTAATGCCATGGACACAGACTCTGGCAGCTTGGGACAAATGAAAGGGCCCACAACAATGGGAAGGATTAAGGTGACTAGATCCAATCCATTTTCCATTCAAATTCAAGAGCAGCCTTCTCCGTTAATGTTTTGGAAATCGGGTATGAACCTCCAGAAGGTTAAAATTTTCTAATGAAATCTACCTCACTCCAAAAGCTTTCATCCATCACCATCACTTCAGTATATTATTTATTATTAGCAAAGATGGTAGCTGCACTAGAAGTGTAAACCACTCGTTTCACTGTCTTTGTTTTCAAGCATGCCTTTAAGATTCCCAGTGTTCCATTGATTGTCCTATTGGCAACCATTTCTGGAGGTTCTTCATCTTTGAGGTCCATGGGAGTAGCCAAATGAAAGACTCCTCTACATCCTTCAATAGCTGCATCAAAACTACTTGGATCTTCAAGATCAGCATGGAAGATTTTTAGTCTTTCGGTTGCTCCAAGCAATTGTGTAAGGAAGCTAATGTCTCTTTTTTGCTCTACGGCTCATGATTGAGACAAAAGATTAAGCAATTAATAAGCATAAGAAATAATATATATATATATATCCTGCAAAGTTACACACTCTATTATATATATACAATTTTCATTATTTATGCCATTAAAATTAACAGTTTCTATTATACATTAACGATTTCCATCAGTATGTAACAATTTCTATTACTTGTGTTGTTAAAATTGATGGTTTCTTGTCAGTGTGTAATAGAGTATATAACTTTGTAAAATCTATGCATTATTGTCCAATAAGTATTTATATCTTTTCAAGTAGTTGAATAATAAAAAGAGTTTGTAATCAAAGTACCCGCTGCTTGACTTCTAATGGTGGTATGGACAGAGTAACCCTGTTGAAGAAGCTTCATGATCAACCATGATGCGATGAAGCCAGTACCACCCGTCACGCACACCTTTCCTTTCTCTCCTTCCTATCTTTAATTCCTAATTCCCAAGTGAGGATGACCGCCAAGAAATTTTTGTGTAGCACTATATATAGAGTAACCCCGTTATTGTGTTCGTGTTAAGGTAACTTAATGGAATAGACTAAATTGGGATTGAAATGATAGTTTGTAGACCATGTGGTAGTAAATAGAGTTTCTAGCTGAAAATGATATTAACCCAAAAAATAATAGATCATTCATTGAATTAAGTTGGAGTCATTGTCCACTATCACACC